AAAGTAGAAGCCGTCGGTGGACTTCGCAGGTAATTGTTGTTGACCCAAGCTATTTCTGAGCGCCCTCCCATCTTTCTTACTGCATAGACAGCAAAAATGCAAGAAACCTGTTGCTTATTTTCGCGACTGTATGGAAGCATTGTCGATACATGAAACATTATTTCGTGACCGGCGAATACCGTATACACCGATTCTCGACCAGTACTATTTGCTGAAAATTGGGGGGAAAGAAGGTGGTAAATTAATAAATGTTAATTTTGGAAGTTGAGCATTTGTAAGTGATAATTTCCAGAAACAGTACGATCGCTCGTATGGCTTCCGAAAACTTGGCGCATATATATCGGACAGGCGGTGAGTACGAGCCGGAGGCATACAGTGTAGGATCGGAGAGCCTGGCATAGCTGCGCCCGATGTGCGTGGGAGCATCCAAGTAACATCACTAAAGTAGGAAACCTACACTGATCCCCGGATGGTTTTGTTATTGTCGGTGATTGTTCCCGTAAAAAACAGAGAATCAAAGGTTGAAATAAACCGCTGGAAACACTAAAATCACCGGAAACGTAGGCCCAGTATCTTCAGCGTTTTGAAACGCTGAGCGCCGCTCTGTTGGGGATACCCTTCTACTTCCTTTGCGCACGTCCCTCGCTTTATTTGTTTGTGACCTTTCTGCTAAGTACTGGTCATCTGTTAATGCAGGCTTCGCCAGTGGTCTATCAAAAAACAGAATTCGCATTTTTTTGGATACTATCTCTTGTCTGATTGATAAAATTATGACGTACAGAACGTATCTAGGCCTCCTCGATAGCTTCCCCAGTTTTGCAGTTCGATACGTTGCCCGAGCAGTTTGATAAACCTCTCGAAATTTTCATCACCATGCTCTAGAATCAGGATTTAATTTAGCAACATATGGAAAAAAGCCTTATAGCTTTCGCTTTAGTCTAATAGCTTCTCATTCTGATCTCCATCACATACTTCCGGTTTTTGTTTAGTTACTCGGCTTCTTCGAGAATCTATTTTTTTCGGAAGCCGAGGAAAACAAACCGTTCGAGAACATTTGCATATCAGAGTGTTGTGTTTTAAGCGCATAAATGACACCAAATTTGCAGTTAACACCACCCTCTTGATCCTCGAGTACCACTAATTCCCGCTGAAGCTCGGCATTGACAATCTCCTTCAGCGATCTATTATAATCACCCATTTCTGGAAATTGCCTGAAAAAAAATTTAATACAGTATTTGGATTGCACTGAAAATTATTCACTGACAAGAAAGGGAAATACCAATGTACCAAAAAATTAGGTAAAAAATCTAAATTTTCAATGCACGAAAATCAAAGGCTGAAAAACACATACTTT